ACAGGCACAAGTGTATTATACCTGATGGGGACTACTTTGAAAGGTACTAAATAAAAATTAATGAATACATAAATGATTTTTGAGAAGAATGAGAATTCACCTTATTCATGAACAGGAATTAGAAAGCAAAACTAGCCTTTTTGCGCTTTACCTAAATCATTCAAAAATGCTTTTTACTCCATCAAGTTTAACTGAAACTGAAGAAATAATAGAACTTTTGATTCCAAAGAAAGCTTTTAGTTATGATGATAGAAAAATAAATTTTATAGAAGCTGTCATAAGTAAAATTTTACCAAAACTTACTCTTCATTTTTTCGAAATCTTTTGAAAGTGGTATAATACCTTACAATATGAAAGTTGCAATAGTTACTTCAATTATAAAAATCATATGAAAGATGATTCCCATAACTATAGGTCAATCTCGGTATTATCAGTCTCTTCAAAATTTAAGTATGATATCGATGCACAAAAGATTAACTTAAAATAATGATCTTTTATATGTTTTCCACAAATCTAGAAATATAGAGGTAGTAACAGCAGTAACAATGGATGCCATTTCAAAAACTCAAACAGATTATAATGAAAAAATGTTGCCTCTTATCTAAAGGTTCAAAAGTAAAAAAAATCACATTAGACAGAATATCTTTATATGGTTTATTAATTGTATAAAAGATGGGCAACAACATGTTTTGCATAGAAAATCAAGACAGTTACATAGATAAATAAATATAGGTTACCAAAAGAATGTATTGTTGATCTTTCTCTTTGAATACACTTTATTTCATTAACAAATTTGACTTTGATGGTAACAGTTAAATTATTTACTGATAATATAACAAATATCTACTTTTCGAATGACTAAGAAATTTCAAAATGATGTAAAAACGGATATGAAAACAATTTCAGGTTATCTATAACAACATAAGTTAACCCTATGTTTTGGTTACCAAAAAAAATCTCTGTTTATAGAGGAATTAATCATATCAAGTAATTTACTTGTATATGTATCAAGTTCTATTTTATTTTATAATTTATAATTTGAGTATGATTTGTGAACAATTTTTATATGTATATTAGGTTTTCTATTTCAATAAACAATTTCAATTTCAAAAAGTGCATGAATGAATATTTCTGAAAGATTATGGAACGGTTTTATCAATCCTATATTTATTGATAATAATTTAATTGAAGTTATATCAATTCAATTAAATGCTTAGTATTATACATTGATGAAAAATTATCGTTTACGAAACATACTGAAATCATAAAAAATCTATCAATCCTTTTCTGTACTCTAATAAAATGATTATAATGAAACTATTATACATTTGTTCAAACCAAATTACCACACAGCACAAACAAAAAAATTTGTTGCTTTATTCATTTGATGATGAATAAAATTGCAACTAATTTTATAGATATCAGCAAATTATATCAGTTGCACTGAAGACAACATATTCAACAAGTCGCTCTCTATGAAACTGACAGAGAACTCAATCCTGGAATATCAAAGATAAAAGAAGGTCCTCAAGGCACCATTTCCATATGGATGCTGTGCTGCTATTCTTTATGAGTTGGTTGAGTTGATCATCTGATATTAGTAGATATCATCAGCATAGTGTATAATTCGATGAAAATTTACAAAAATGATGAAATAATGAATAATAGAGGTACCAGATTAAAAGTCTGTTTCACTCTCATTTTTGTTTGCAGGTAAACAGATCAGAAACACATATATCTTTTGGAAAAAAAATCTAATAAATTGTTTGAAATTTCTAATATACATAGAATGACGTTATTCACTCACCTCCAGAAGCTATATAAAATCCGCTGGGAGAATACTTGGCAACATTCACCTGGCAAGAGTGTTCCGTATAAACCTCAGATATTGCGGGATTCTACAAAGAGTATAATTACCATAGAGATAATAATAAAACTCAATTGAATTTCAAGTTACCTCAATATTTCTTATGATGACAGAATTGCCATTGGTATATAAAAAATGTTTTCCCTTTGGATCACCTCCTAAGACAATCGGTTGTCCTCTCTGGGTTTTTGGCAAGGTGGCATATATGTTTTCTAGAAAACAAAAATTGATTATTCATCACCTTGATAACAGTAAAAAAAGAGAAATGTTGCAGATTTTTACTTACTGCAGGCGTACGACATTTTATTAGTCTATCCCAACCTTAATACAATAGCGTTTCAAAGTTTTTTTTTATCAAGGTTTGTTCGAACTTCACTTATATCCTTTTTTTAGTTTTTAGAACAGATAAGAGTGTAATCTAGTTTTTCTCTTAATCACCACTGTAGCGGTTATGTTTGCCTTAAAAGGAAATGTAAAGTATCTTATCCTGTCACTTCACCTCTCACTACCGGCCACCGGCTGTTGCTGTCAGTCAATAGTGTCATTCGTTGTGTCATTTCTCTGAGGTCATTTCTTTAAATGGTGTCTTTCTTTTTTTACCACATGGTTTGTAAAACACTTCTCATGCAGTTGTTCTGAAAAACTAGCTATATATAAACCAAATGATTATATACGAGTACACATTTCAAAAGTATTTTAACGTTCTCTCAGTGAACAAAACTTCAGGAGCCCTATTTTCAAATCAGGTGGACTGAACAGGAAATTGAATGTCTCTCACTATTATATTTTTAAAAACATAATCGTCTCTCACTATTATATTTAAAAAAATGAAATAGTGAAAGACATCCGATTTTTTTCTTTCGATGTGAGAGTTCACCTGATTTGAAAATGAGGTTCTTAATAGCGAACAAAAGGAATGGCTGAAAGGTAAAGCCGCTTTACCAATTGATTTACCGCTGAATGTGGTGGAGAGTATTTTTTGAATCTAACCATTGTACAAAATCAAAGCAGGGGGCGATTTCTTGATGATGCTAACTTATTTAGCGAAACACGCTCATGAAATAGTGTTTTTGTTCTGACATGGGATTTACCTATAGATGAATCTATGGGATCCAACGGTGAACTCGTAGATAAATTTAAGAACCTTCGAAAACGGTTGCCAACATAGGTCAGAACAAATATCGTTTTTGTCACCTGTAGTTGCCAATCATACAATATCAAATGTCTCCTCTTTTGTTAAGTGAAACATTAAAAAATGCTCTTATTATCGAAACTAATTTTCAGTATGCCTATTAAAACTTAAAGGTAACATTGCTTATTAAATATAAATGTCATATATTATCTCATTACAAAATTATATTTTGAATAATGGATCAACAATTTTTCATACATATATATATCGGGATTCTAACTGATTTCACATTGGAATAACCCAAAGATATGTTCAAAAAGTATTCCTTTTTTTCTTAGCTTCCACATCATATCCAGGAAAAAATTGAACACATTTCTTAGTCTCACTCAATACGGAATTGTATTTACTTATGAACACTTGTCACCGTTGAAGTTATTTAATGAAGCAACTATATGTTGAAACGTTAATGTCGATACACTGGTGATGTATTTTTATCTCCAACCGAAATTGGTAGAATAACCATAATTATTTATATCAAAGACATCCCAAGAGAAACATTGGCAGTATTTACTACAATTACGTTGGTAGTGTTCTGCGTGTCACGTTCACATAACCTACTTTATTTGTTTATGTTGTGTTGTCAATTTATTGTCAATTCAGTTCACACTAACGTCAATTTTGATATTGACCATGTTAATGAAATGTAATTCAATTTATTGGACACCTTAGTACATTTTTTCATACTATAAAATAAGAAAAATGGCGGATTTAAAGAAAGATTTGGATGAGTATTTGCTCTTACAGAGCGATAAAAAAAAGACCTTCAAGTTGGACATGCCAGCAATACAAAAACCCAATATATCCAGTTGGTTTAAAAAAGAAGAAACTGAGGAAGGTAGCTCTTGGTATCAGGAGTCGAAAAGAGAATGTTGCCCTAGTCTTGTAAGATAACTGAAATGCATATTCTTATAGTCTGCCTTATATCAAATGTTTTTCAGTCGAGATTTCAACGAATAGTACTATTTGGATTGTGTCTTGGCATGGGATTGCTATGTTTTTCCCTATCTCTGATGTACATTCCAGTTCTTCTGTTCAAAGCTAGAAAGTTTTCTCTTCTTTTCACCTTGGGGAGTACATTTTTCGTTTTGAGGTAATACCATTTTTAGATATTTTACATATCTTTTACCTACTTTATCTTGTTCGTTAATTACGAATCCAATCTAAAACTTGATACAGATCGATTATTGAAGATACGACCACTCAAATCCAAAATGTCATAAAATTATCTATTTCAGAAACTTATTTCTGGTAGTAGAACCTTGCAAACTTTTATTTAACCAATGTAACCCTTTGGTGAAATGATCCTTTGAATGAATATATCAGTTTACTAGAGTCTTCATCATTTTTGGCAAAATTACAGAGTCAAAGTCAAGAAATAAATTATGTTGCAAAATTTTACTCAGTTTTTCCCTAGTAGACAAAACTGTTGAAATGAATATCTATCGTTAAAAACATTTATTTTCCTTTTACAATCATTTACATTTTACAATCAGATTGATATAATATTGAGATAGCTTACTCATTTTGATGATAACTTTGTTTTTTTTTTTCAGTTTCTTTTTTCTGTTTGGGCCCCTGGCTTTCCTGAAGGGTATGTTTGCCAAGGAAAGGCTTTTTCTGACAATGACTTATGGAGGAACACTAGTTGCTACTTTATATTGCGCTTTGCACCTGCAAAGCACCCCTTTCACTGTGCTGTTTGCCATCGGCCAGATAATTTCATTACTTTGGACTGTGATAGCCAGTATACCTGGCGGTACTGCCGGACTTTCATTTTTCTCAAAAATGTTTTCAAGATCTGTCAGCAGTAGTACTTTACCTATTTAGTGCTATCGTTTTCATCTACTTTTGTTATTTTATGCCATTTCATTATCAGTTGTCAAAGACTCGCACTGCATTATTATTACCATCATCAAAAGCAATTCTGTTTCATATATTTACTAAACATGTAAGATATTTAGGAAATGTTTTTTTTTCACCTACTCAGCTAATCCCAGTTTATCAAGCAATAGATTGTGACACATGTAATGTCATAGAATATCCCTCGTGAGATTATTGACCTCGTAAAATATTTGATCAGAAACTCTAATCTCAAGTGACATTGCTTGGCAATGTCTAGTTGGGACTTCTATTTTCATTGTTGTTTACATTTGGGAATAAATTGATATTATGTGGATAATTTTCACATTATGGTCCATGAATCAAAGATCTTAATTAAATACAGCTGCCGGACTGAGTCATGGCCGGTGACAAGCTCCTCCCTCAAGATGTGCAGTAGATGTGTAGAAATCTGTTACCAGTAAGATTATTTGAGCCGTAAACATCCAAATTGCGAACAAAAGTTTCCTGATACTTTGTCATACACTGACCCAAACTCTACGCAGATACGATTTCTCCCACCGGCCATGACTCAGTCCGGTAGCTGTACATGTGACAAATTTTGATTCAAAACACTAGGGCTTCTATGTATTTTGATATAACTCAACCCTCTGAAGTAATAGTAAACTGAAACATAGTTACACAGAAATAAATAAATTATGCTACAATTAAAAACTTCAAAAATACTCCCATAGTTCGATTTTTAAATTTAGTTCGAGGTGTTATTGAAAATACTTCAACTATACAGGGTGATACATATAGAAATAATGTGAAAATTTTTCAAAATAACATCCTGTATATTGTCAGGTTTTTCGAATTACATGTACGAGGTTTGTTCAAAAAAATAATGTGAATTTTCATTTTTATTAAAAAATATTTATCAATTTCAATTTTTCCTCCAGCGTTTTTTCCAATACTCGAAGCAGTTCTGATATGCACTTTTTGGTATGTCCCTGACTCTCTCAGAAATTCGGTTTTTAGCTCCTCAACCTTCGCAAAACGCCGTCGTTTTATGGGTCTCTTCAATCTAGGGAACAGAAAAAAGTCGCAAGGGGCCAAATACATAGCGTTCATTTCCAGTTATCAAATACTATAACCTTTGTATGGTTAGTCTATATACAATGCTATAACATACAAAAACTTTTACATTTATGGAAATAAAAAACGAAGATACTCGACGGTATTATCACGGACAAGGTATGATGGTTTGTTTTTCTGGGTTTCATTCCATGTTCTGTGTTTTTGATCCTTTGATCATTTTCACGACATTTCGGCACTCTCATTTGTCATCTTCTGGAGATGTCTGGAGTATGGACCTAGTCTAGGTCCCCATTACCGGACATTTTCTTCGTATCTTTTCTCGCAAGCGTCGCATAACTTTAAGGTAATATTCCTTATTGTGCGTACGATTATGTGGCAAGAATTCCTGATGCACTACGCCACGGTTATCGAAGAAAACAGAGGGCAAAACCTTGACATTTGATCAAACTTGGCGTGTTTTTTTGATCTTGGCTCTTCGGGCTCTTCCATTGGGACAATTATACTTTGGTTTCGATGCCATAAGAATATACCCATACCAAGTGATCATCTTCAAGAGGAAGATCAAACTAAACATACTTTCTTTTGCCTTATCTACTAGTCTTAAATTAATTTTACAATGTGTCCTTATGTAATAGGTAAATCTAATAATTAAAATATTATTTTAACAAGCTATTAGGTATTGGTCCACCATCGTTATTCATAATATTAATATGTTTACTTATTTCTACACTCTCATAGGCATCTAGATGCCTGTTGTTGTTAACTTGTCTAACTAATCTTAATGAACTGAAGTCTATGGAATGGTTTTGTTGCAAAATATGATGGGCGACTGCTGATTTTTCAGGTCTTCCATATTTTAAGTGTGCTAAGTGTTCCTTATATCTTATTTTAATAGATCTTTTTGTCTGTCCATAATATTTTGCATCACAGTCCTTACATTAATTTCGAAAATTCCAAACTTTTCCGAATTCTCGACTTTGTCTTTTGGATTTGCTAAAAGGCTCGAAGAATTCATGATCCGGCAAGCTACGTCAAACAAGAACTAGTTACACGTTTACAAAAAACACGATTAATCTTGCAAATAAATAAATCGACTGATATCGCTGGTTTGGCTATCTTGCTGGTTATCGTGAGATATCCATATGAAAGTTCTTTTAAAGAAGACATGCTTATGTGTTCACCACTGCACATAAACACTACCGGAGAAGAAATTTTTAATGAAATAAATATATTTTTTGAAGAAAATAACGAGTTTTAACGATTGCATTGACATTTGTGTAGATGGGGCCAAGGCGATGACTTGTAAAACAGCATTACTGCTACGAATACAAAATAAAGCACCTAATTGTAGTTCCAGCCATTGTATCCTACATAGACAAGCATTTGCAATGAAGCAAATGCCATCAAATCTAAAATTAGTTCTTGAGGAAGCTGTAAAATAATTGATTTTGTCAAATCACGACCACTATAATCCTGATTGTTCTCATTATTGTGTGAAGATTATGGCAGCAAACATAAAAAACTGCTGCTCCATACAGAGTGCAATGAATGTCTCAAGGTAAAACTTTAACAAAAGGCTATTTGAAGTTAGGTCGGATATCTTTAAACAACTGAATGAATTAAATTTATCATTGCAAGGTAAACAGATAACAGTGTTTCAGGCCTGTAACAAAATAACTGCCTTCAAAAGAACATTGGATTTTTGAATTATTTGCGTTGGTAAGAGAGCAATATAAAGCTTCACGTCACTCGGTGAGTTTTGTTAGTGATAACGACTCAGAAATGTTTTTAGATATTGTATTTGAAGAATTGCTCCAATGTCTCATTTCGATGCACGTATCTTTTGAGAAGTATTTTCCCGAAGAACAGAATACAAAAATGAAACTGAATTCATAATCCTTTTGTACCCAACTTATAAGAGACCAAAAGTATGTCAAGCGAGATACATGAATCTCTGTAGAAATGTCATCAGACACAATTATGGAGTCACTGTTCAAAACGACGCCTCTCAACGATTGTTAGTGCAGAATCCGTGATGAATATCCGATGCTTGCCAAAATGGCTCTGAATATTCTCGCATTCCTAACAACATATTTGTGTGAAACAGGATTCTTAACCTATACAGCCACGAAAACAAAATACTGCAATAGACTGGAGACCGAAACTGATATGAGACTTCAACTGTCTTCTATTAAACCCAATATCAACCAACTGATGAAAAATAAAAAACAGTTTCATACCTCCCATTAGTTAGATTTTTTATATTTTAATATCTTCTATCATTATACTTGCTATGTAAGTAATAAGTAACTGTTATACTATCGTTTTATTATGCTTATCAATAAAGAAAACACTTTTAAAAACTATCGTTTTATTGTTGGGTTCTGTCCAGTATTTCGCTTTCCAAAAAGGTTCCACCACAGAAAAAGTTCGAGAACCGCTCTAAACTGATAAAAGAAAAAATTATATTTGTACAAACAACTTTCTTTAATTAATTTTTCAAGTTTATTTACAGTACAATATACATAATTTACAATACATTATCCAAATGAATACACTCATGAAAATATATTCATAAGGTAATAATTATACAATATAAAAAAAGTCTAGTATAAAAGGTGCAGTCCTATTACGTGATATAACATCGTATAACAAGATTGTTCAACATAATCCTGTATGAGTCAATAACTAACAAGCCATAGATACTTAAAAGTGATTACTTAAAGTTAACAACTAATTTAAAAAGTGAACGAAATTATGAAATAATCATTTATTAATTTATGAAATGCAAATGAGGACAAAACTTTGAGTATTCAATAATATCCAAATAAAATTTTTGTAAACCATAAAAATCTGAAATTGAGAGTGTAGCTCTAAAAGATGTCTGCGCATTGTTTTGAGTTGATAATGAGAAGAGATAGAAGAGTCGCCAATTTCATAATACAAACATCAAATTTGTATTAATATTTTGGACAATTCCCTGTCATTTCTCATATGTAGAACTAAAACCCAAAGTTTTACTTCTGTGGTCGACCTTCCCAGTTTGGGGTGATTTTCAGAATGCCCAATACTGCGTGGGGTGAATTCTCACCTAAAACTCCTTTCTCGAGTTTCACATTGCATAAATTGATCAACAATGATTATTCAAATTTAAAAACTGTAACACCCGTGGGGTGAATTGTATTAGCTGTTCCATACATTTTTAAATAAATAGAAAAGTGATTAACAATTTTTTCATATTTGTTGATTGAAACGGTACTTGAATACAAGCAAAAGTGGTCAATCTGGAGAACTCACCCCATTCGGTGCTGGGAAGGTTGAAAAAAATTGCCTGCTAGTTTGAATATAACGTTTTATTAGTATGTTTTCTTTCTAATTGAGTAATTTTTTTGGTACCCCAATGGCTGGGTGTGTTGCATAACTAACAATTTACTTGACAAATGACATTCACAAGTAAAAATAACAATCTCTTAAATTTGTGCCGTCGCGTCGTTCATCTCACTCTAGCCACATAATTTGTTAATTTCAAAATGGATAAAATTTGATGTATTTTGAATATGTTTTCCTTCATTATGAATGTATTTCGATTTGTCAATTTGCTTGATTCTATAATATCATCAAATTAAAGTAAGAGATTTTAAGTATGAAACAGTATTAATGAAAAATTCAATCTTTTCAAAATCAATGCAGTGAACTGAATGAAAAACCAATAAATTGAATTCTCAGTACAATTTGAACAAGAAAAATTATTGACAACCATATTATATAACATTGAATAAATTATATTTCTTTAAATCTGTAAACCTCCATTATCACACGATATCTATTCCATAGTCATTCAACATGTCAGGGCCAATTGAGATATCATCGTCCTTGTCTATCTTAATTTCAGTCTTGACTTTAATATCAAGAAAAATTAAGATGTGTATGTTTTTATAAAAGCATTGACACATATTATTTTCTCGTCACAGTTTTTGTTCTTAACTGGTGACCTTGAAAGATTCTGAATTTCAACTTTCAAAACTACATATGATTAAAACAAAGTCAGAGCAATGTGCACGCCCACTGTTCCACAAATCCAGGTACTTCTTCACTTTATGTAATGGCCTACAAATAAAGGTTGTGTTGACTGTTGATAGCTGGTGATTAATGGTGTTCGTTTTGATTTTTTTTATTTTCAGGGTAGTACAACAAATGCTCACAATGTTCATAAAAAAAATCACGTTTTTTGAACGGACGCAGATTATTATATGTTACATATCACTAGTCTTAGAATTGAAATTATGCTTAAGATAACGGCCGAGACTGAAATCGAGACAGTTCAAACAACGACTATGATGTATAAATTTGCCGTTATTGTGTCAAAGCTATTTTTTGGGTTTGTAGGCGTCAGTCTCCAGGTTTTATGCCTGGTGTTTAACCTACAACGTCGATGATAAGTGAACAGAGCGGTTATGTCTGCTGAGAATACTTCTCCAATCAGCCCTACAATGTATTTGACAAAAATCATCATGTACAAGGAGATCATGACGAAACTCACTAGTATGGGTATCTGTAATTCAGAGGGCCCTATGCATCTGTGAACCTGAGTCTCCACGAGGAACTTAATCACCAAAAAATGTTTTCGGAGAATTCTGGAAAACCCAGTGTGGAACCATATTCAGGCCAATGATGAATATCAGAGACAATCGATGGTCAGCTGCGGACCCCAGAGAGTCTTTTGCGACACCCTTGTAGCTGTGGGTCGGTCTACGAAGAGAAGTGTAAGTACAAGAGAAACTGTGATCTTCGGCAAATTCACGTTATCTAGTTCAAAGAAACACGAATACTTGACAAAACTCAGAGTGACTATCCAGAGTAGCGATAGAAATTTATAAACACAGATAGTTTCAACGGGAAAGAAGGGTGAATGAACATTAATAAAATCTGGCTAAGTGTTCTGAATTGCACACAAATCAGGTCATTTGATTTAACCAATAGGGAGAATAGGAGAAAACTGGAGGAACATTCGACTAATGCAGTATCAGCAGTATCAGCTCAGTATCACAACTTGAGCACTTCTTTCGTATACTTATCACTTTTGAGAATATCCACCGCAGTTGTAGTCACTCAGAAAAACTCACAGACCACGGCCAACATACCCGGAAAATAGCTCTGCCATAGTTATCTCCGGCCATAAAAGTTTATACTGTTTGATTTGCCGTTATTTTCCAGTCATAAACACTAAGCAGTTAACACTGCGATTTCACATCTCGAAAAACAACTATGGCTTGTTAATTCATCTTGAAGTTTATCGACAATCGTTTTTTCGGAGTGCAGATCACTCACGGTCAACTTTACACAATTTCACCATTTTTTTTGGCTAACTTCCGGCATCCTCCCGGGAAACATAAATCCATCCATCTCCGGAATTCCTCGATGAATTACCAGGTGCCGAATTCCTTTCTTTTTGTTGTAGCAGAAGGTCTCTAGCTAACCTTAAAGATTCTTTCTCCTCCTGCAAAGCTTTCAGGTTCATTTTTCGCCGCTGGTCTTCTTCTTCGTCAGCCAGTAACTGGTTTTTCTTTTGCGATAGTAATACTAATTCTGTCTGAACCTGAAAGGATAGAAGCAATAATTAATCATTTGTCTGAATTAGTTATTAGGGAAGTATCCCAAGGTTCAATGTTATATCGATACAAAAGTGAGTTGCACATCCAACCAACCTAAACAGTTTTCAAGAAGAGCAATCCGGTTAGATTTTTTGCCTAGCCATTTTAGAAAAAAGCGAAACAATAGTGGTATAATTTTGGAGAGATCAATTTGTGGAAAAGAAAGGTTTTGGCTTTGTACTTCTCCATCTTCATTCTAAAAAATCTTCCAATCTTCCAAAGAAAAAAAGAGAGCAATTTATTCCAAAATAAAGTCATTACAAAGATGTGTAGATGCAAAGAAGTAACTTTCAGACACAAACTGGAAAAAAAACCCTTTTGAAACAACTGTGTCATATAGATATTGAATTACACGAAAGAAAATATCTTCTTTGGAGTACATCCATTCTGTCTTGAAATAATAATATGGGTTATAAAATAAATAAATAATAATAATTTTAAACAAAAACCGAAAGCATATCTGTTAGAAAATTGTTATTATACAGTAGCAGAATTTTTAATAATAAATAGGTCTGTTCTTTTTTTATATGTAACTTTAAGTATCTTCATTTTACTGTGTTGACAGTTTCCTATACAACTTTATATTGTATTTATGTAAATGAAGTATTACTATTATTACTCTGAAAGTATACAATTTTGTATGATTTGTGATCCTGAGATTATTTGTATCCTTTCAAGCAACATTCTCACTTCCTAGAGTGAAAGTTGTTATTAAAACTCCTGAAGTAACATGGCTTGGAATCTCTTAATCTTTTATTTCATATTTTTTGTTTAATTGTTCTATTTTTTACTTGTATTTCATTTCAGGGTTTTTTGTTTTTTTTGCTTAATATAATGGTTATTTTGAGCTATTATTTTAAATTTTTTGCATTCGCATTGGTTATTTCAGGGATTTTAAATCATTTCATATAATATTGGACAATAGAAGTCCGAACTAATGAAATTCATCGATGTACTAGATCAGTAAATCCAGCAC